CGCAGCTCCAGGGACACGGCGCCGCCATATTGGAGCCGTCACGTGACTCTGACATCTCACTCCCACCCCACCGCCTCCCAGGCTGACCTCTGACCCCGCCGCCTCCGGCTGCCAATGGGGAGGGACGGAGGGGAGAGGGGCGGGGCTTGGTGTAGCTGGGGGAAGGGGAGAGGGAGCTCTGAGGTGGTGAGATAGACCTCTCCCACACACCTACACACATGTACACACACACACCTACACAGGCACACGTACACGTGCATACACACACACACATAGGCACATGTACACACACACACTTGCACTCTTCTAACTGGCCTGGTCCTGTTGCCCCCAGGCTTCGGCCCAGTCAGGAGGCGCCGTCTTGGTGCTGACCGCTGGCAACAGCGTGGATGTGCCTAGGCCAAAACCCAGCACAGCTGCTTCACGGCAGCCCCCTCACGTGGACACGTGCATGTCAGGAGTGTGACAGGGTGAACCCCAGTCTCAAAGGCACGGAGGCAGCCCGGTCTCTCAGCTTAGTCCCGTGAACGTGTCCTTTGGGTGCGCTGCCGTTAGGTTCGTTAGATCGGTAACCCGCTCGCTGCCGGGCAACATTGCCACGTGATGGAGGTTCTCACAAAATGCCTCAGCACATTTGGGAAAAAAAAAAAAGTGTTTTTAATTTTTTCTTCCGGTTTTTTTTAATTCATCAAAATGAATCATTCTGATCTATTCCTACTCAAATAATTTTTTTTCCCCATTTCCCCCCTCCCCCCTTTTCTTTCTCCTTAGCTTTCTTCGTTCCATTAGGAAAAAGAGAAATGGAAGGAAAAAGTAGGATAACCAAAGAAACCAAAACAGGGTCTATTTAAAATGAAATAAAATTTATTTTTAATCAACTAAATCAATTAACATTAATTTTTAATCAACACTACGTACATATTGTTTACAATTTTCATTTTGTTTCAATGGCCTCTATAGCAGTGAGGCACATAGAAACCACTTAGACAAGTAGCATCTTTCAGCAGCATTTTACAATGCTCTCTGTTTGCCTACATGACAACGATCAGTGCCAGATATGGTGACCGGGGAGCAACTGTTAAAGGGTTACTATCAGAAACCTTGAAATGATAGGAACTGGGCAGTTTCAGAGCTACTATTAGAAACCTTGCAAATGAGGGGAGATAGCAGCCCTGACACTGGTGAGCTCCAGTAATTTTCAAGCTTTGAATATCAAACATGAAACTGTCTATTAAAGCCTTGAAAATGACAGGAGGGGTCACTTGCAGGATTGCTAGTACCCCAGCAGTGACAGAAAGATAGGCTATTTTCTACATAATGATCCTAGTTACATTAAGTTTGGGTGAGCACATAGTCTTTTTTCAGTCCCAAAGTGACACATGTAAATAGTGTGTACCATGGATGTAGGTTGTAGCCGTGTTGGTCTAAGGACATAGGCAGACAAGGTTGTGCAGATTTGCCCAAAGAGCCTTGTCTGTCTAGTGTGTACCATACAATTTATTGCATGGCCTATTTGTACAAACATAATTCTGAGCACTGAAAAGAAAGCTGAATTAAGGTCTTACTTAACATACTACTCTGCAGCCTTTTAATCCTTTTAATCTAAAAATTTCAGCATGCTTTTTAAAATGAACTGTTACAGCATCAGTCTCATTTTATACATAAGGAAACTCTAAAAGTGTAAGTTTAAGAGATTTGGCCCAGGTCACACAATAAGGCAGGGTTACTAAGAACAGAATACAAAATCCTAGACACTAAATCCCTTTTGCTAACCCATGGGTTTTCATCTCTTGATGTTTACACTTCACTAATAGAAGCCCATCATAGCCAAAATTAATTTCTAGACTCTTTAAAAGAATCTATGAAAAACTTTTACTGCATACTTAGATCAACCCTGCCACATGCTTAGATTGCCACTTAAAACCACCATGGAAATGCATGGCCTCATTTGTGTCAGCAACATTACACAATGGGCTCAGACAGAAAAGTGAAGCATACATTATCCAGCTGAAACTACTGTGGCCTGTTAGGTTATCTAGATTGTTACGTGACTCAATATATCTAGGTCAATAGGGCTTACGCAAATCCTTCCAAATGGCATAAATGGACCTTTGGTTAGCAGAACTCAGATCCAAAAGATACTTCCTATGGACTTGATTTAATATTGACTTTGAGGAAAGAGTAAAGAGGTGCTCCGTGACCAACCCCACTGCCGACACATTACTATGGATTTGCTCATTCTGGACTCCGGACTCAATTAATGTTTAAAAGAGAACTCAGATAGGAAGGGGACTGGTCAGTGCTATTAGTGAAGGGTTAGAAGTGGAAAATGTATCTTTCAGAAACTGTTTTAAGGCTTGCTGCCATCTTAAGACCAAGTTTTCCTTAGCGATCTCCAGTCCAGAAATGGGTGTGACATGTGTGATTAGTAATGAGGTCACAGTCTAAAAGGGTGTGACTTCAGAGAAAACCTGCTAGTTATAACCATTCTCTTGCAGCTAACACTAGGTTTAGCTCCTTGCTGAAGGGAAATGTGCAGTGTAATAAAAGGCAAAACTATGCAGAACAGTTGAAGTCCTGCAGGGGAATGTCTGCTGGAGTAGTTGCAGGGTAGATGGTCAGAAGTTTCCTTTTCATTAAAGAAATGAGTTGAGAATTAATTGCTAAAAATTGGAGCATCACAGAAACATCAGCAAGAAAGAACTTCAAGAGATCAAGTTCATCTCTGTGCTGAGCAGAATCAAGTACACTAAAAGTAATCCTTTCAAATATTTGTTTAACCAGTGGTTTCTCAACTTTTTTAGACTCAAGGCACAACCTCATTTGACTCAAGGCACCCCTCAGAAAATGACATCTCTTTGTTTTCACTTTATTGGCTACAGAAAAATAATACAGCAATTCTTCTGTTGCAAGGAACTCAGAAAGATCACAAGTCAGAATGTTTTTCACACCCTGGATTCCTATTTGAAATTTCTGGGTTTATTTTGTAAATCATGTTTTCACACCTAGCAGTGATAACATGGTGTAGCACATCACAGAACCCTTGAAAAGATCTCAAGACACCCCAAAGTGCTGCAATACCCTGGTTGAGAATCACTGGTCTAACCTGTTCTTGAAAACCTCCAGATCCCTGTTGTAAGAAAGCCAACTCCAGTGCTTCACTACTCGTACAGCTACATTTTCCTAGTATCCAGCCTAAATCTTCCTTGCTGCAATCTCCTCCAGTTTTTTTCAGTTGCTCATGTACTGGTATCTGTTAATCTCACAAAGAATCAAGTCCTACCCCCACGTCCCTAAAAAGTATTGTCCCAGGCCACCTATGTACTGTTCTCTATCAGAATCTCCTTCAAAATATTTTGCAGTACACCCCGTGTTCTTGGCTGGGCCCCTGCTGCTATCTGCTTTGAGAAAATAATGATATTTAGTTCCTTTAAAGAGAGGGAGTTGTGAGGCTTCATTTATTAATAATGCTCATAAAATGCTCAGAGACCTTTGGATGAAAGACTTAACTTTGGCATACAGACAACACAAGCTATTCTCTTCTATGGAGAGGAGTTATACAGATCCACAGAGAAGGCCAGCTGGATGTAAGGGAAATGAACAGATGTTACAGTACATATAATGGTAAAGAGGAAGGGAGGTGATTGAACACATGGAGAAAATTAAATATACAGACCTTACTTCCCTGACTGAGAATAGGAAGAAGGAAATTTCTCAGAGAAAACAATCCTTTATTAGCAAGTGGATTCTCACTCTAGTTTTAAATTTTCAAGTTATAGATCACATAGTAGGGGGCAAAACACCTGTTCTGAGACCTTAGATTAACTTCAGGGTTATAAGAAAAGTTTCAGGCTGATGACAATCAAAGTGACTCAGACTCAGTATGCTTTGACAAGACTAACAGCCTTTTGTCCATCAACCTTGGCACCATGCTAGCATGCTATACTGCCAGGAGTCATATAATCATTTTTATAGGTTAAAGGTGGAAATGTGAACATAGAACAGGTATTAAAATCCTTTACTAATCAAGCTGTGTGAGGCATTCATAAAAGAATAGACTGCAGAAAAGAAATACATGCAAATCATACTTAGTATTATACAAAAAGGGTCAATCAGAAAATGTTAACCTATTCAAAAATGTGATCTACAAAGGGTCCATTAGTTCAGTGCAAGAATAGATTTTCTGGCACTCATGATATCGCAGGATTACTCATTCTAGAGGTTCACAACCATTGGTAACAAACACAAAGACTTTGGTAGCTGGATATCATTGTGATGAGAACATTAGAATAACAGAGGTAAACAATGTGGAATAAGTCTAAATTACAATGCAGGCACTATAAAAATATTTCAGACAGTGTGTTCATAGCAGGATTGGAGCCCCAGTTTGGATTTATTCTGCTGGAAGTCATGCTACAATGTGGGATTTTTTTTGTTTGTTTCTTTGCTTAGTTCAATTTTCAGGTTTCCCTATAGGGAGTACCTTCACTGTTGTTATAATTTGAATTGGAAATATAGGGCCATATTCATTTCCTGGGTAACTCCATTGATTTTATTGTTTAGCACCAGCGATAAATTTGACACTTCATAATAACTGTATTAGCAATTCATGCTTTCTGTGAAAATTCTCAATCCTGCATATATAAGGCAGCTGATAATGTGAGCTTCTGTAGTACTACTGATTTTATTAGACAGCTCAGAAAATGCTCCACATGACAGAATATTAAATAACCCAGATTTTGTTTGTTTGTTGGGTGTTTTTCTACAAAATCTTAACTTATTAATTATCTGGGATGTTCTAGAATAAAATCTGATGCTACATTTTGTTTTAACATTCTCTATTCTGTTATTTCCCAAAACACAGGAGAATATTTTCTATCTTGAATGCCCATTTGTATGCCTAGTCTTTTTTTAAAGTGCTGTGCAATGATGTTAAATGCAGATACTTATGAACAGCTGGATGTCTTAGCTACACTGGAGCTATATAGCTGGATACACTGCTGCACACATATTTCTGACAACTGGAGTTTGTATGTTGTGTTTTTTCTTTAG